CAGCCCGCACGGCCCCCGGACGCTGCAGCCCTGCGGCCAGGGCGGGCACTTGCAAGCTGTAGGCACGTGCCCCCCGACCCGGGCGTGCCTCAGGTGGCCATCACGCCGAGTCCCACCTTGGCGGGACGCCCTGGCCTCAGGAGGTCAGCCCGGGCACAGCCTCCGCCCCAGAGGCCCACGAGGATAGGGCCGAGCCTGAGACGTCCGAGAAACTCAGACCGCCTCATCCCTCTCCGGCCTCTCTCCCCAGGAACCCCAGGCTCATCCCAAACTTTCCGCTTCTGGGGACCCCGACCCAGGACGCCTCCCATCTCTTGTCCATGGGAGAGAGTTTGTGCGGGGTGGAGGCCCGACTGTCCCTGGAGCGGGGGCCGGGTGCAGGCCCGACCGTCCAGGGGTGTGCGTCTGAGGGTCCTGGGGGAGCCCGCTGCCCCTGGGCCTCGGCCGCCTCCCTGGAGGCTGCGGCGCTCCCGGCCTTGTTGTCGGTCGGTCCCCTTCCCCCCTTCCCATTCCTCCTCCGTGCCTCCATGGCGCCGTTCTCCCTCGAACTGCCCGATCCATCCTCCTCCTCCACAGCCGCCTTCCCTCCGTCCTCACCCTCCGTCCTCACCCTCCGTCCTTCTGAATCCGCTCCGTCATCACTTTGACCGAGAAGCCGCCCACGAGCCTCCAAGGCCGAGGCAGGCGCCTGTCCTCGGCGCTCCCGGGCCCCGAGGTCCCCTCTCAGACGCTCGCCCTCCTCAGGGCAGGCCTGCTTCCTGCCCGAGTCCCACTGGACCCCACGCTCTGGCGGGAGGACACGGGCGACCCGCTGGCTGTGTCCGCTGCATGGGGAGGGCAGAGTTGGCTCCTAGCGAGAGACCCGTTGACTGGGGGAGGGAATGGGTCAACGAGTGGCTGGATGAGTGTGCAGACGACCCGGCGGTGGCCTGGAGTTCCCCTGGGACGGGACTCACCTGGCTCTGCTCAGGCGCTCAGGGCCAGGCCACCCGGTGCGCTTGGCACTGGGGACAACTGGAGCACCATCATTCACTCGCATTCCGGAAAATTCCGAGAGCCTCTCTGAAGACGAGCAGCACCCTGACCTAGAATCACTTCCACATGCCCGAGAGTTGCACCAGGCTGGGGTGCAGCATGGAAGAATTCCTGCTGTGTCTTTCCGGGCACTTCAGTCTTTCCCGGGGATGCCTCTCAGGGGACTCTCGCCCGAGCCGGGGACCGGAGCCCGTGGATATCCAGAGAGCCCGGCAGGGCCGCCGGCCCCTCCCAGGCAGGGGCTCTGCCTCCCCCGGCCTGCTCCTCCCCTGGCTGACCCTCGGAGCTGCGTTCGCCGAGTGGCCCCGTGGACCCTTCCCCACGCACCCTGTCTGTGTCTGCTTCTCCCCGAACAGGCCTCGACGCCCTGCTGGTGGTGTCCCTGAGCCCGACCGCCCATCACGACTTTTCCAGCTTTGAGTTTGGAAAAGGCTTTGATTACAGGACGCCCCTGACCCTCGGCATGAGGGAGCTGGGCAGGACACTGTCGCAGTTCCTGGTGAGCCGCGGGACAAAAGCCCCATCGCTCAGAAGGCCTGGCGCGGGCTGACCCCTTGAGGAGAGCCGTCAGAGGCGCCTGGGCTCGCCTGCTGACCAAGCGCGGGGTCCTCCGTGCACAGGAGAGCGCGAGAGGCCAGAGTGCTGTGTCTGGGCTTGCACGTCCTCGTCCCGTCTGCCCTGTCGGGAATGAAGCCTGGGGCACTAAGACCCCACCCCACCCCTGACTGAGTCTGAAAGCCCCCGCAGCTGGTGCTCTGGAAACTCCACAAAGCGGGACTGACCCCTGGAACCAGCGAGGCTTAGGCACACTTGGGCAGTGGCCGTCTGCGTGCTGGGCGCCCCGGCCATGAGCAGAGGTTGTTTCGTTTGGAGAGAGGAGTTTGCCTCACCTGGGGCCCTCTCTATACTCCAGGGGTCAAAAAGCACCTCTGAGCTGGGCCTGGTGGCTCACGCCTGTCATCCCAGCACTTTGGGAGGCCCAGGCGGGAGAACTGCAGGAGTTCGAGACCAACCTGGGCAACATAGCAAGATCTCGTCTCTACAGAAATCAAAACATCAGCCAGGCAGGGTGGCACGTGCCTGTAGTCCCAGGTCCTCAGGAGGCTGAGGCGAAAGGATGGCCTGAGCCCAGGAGGTTGAGGCTGTGGTGAGCCGTGATCGTGCCACTGCACTCCAGCCTGGGTGACAGAGTGAGACCTCAACCCAGAAATCAAAAAGAGCCCCTCTTATGCCCAACTCCAGTGAAGGGACAGGCTTGTGGGTGGAGGATTATGCTTTGTGCGAGCGCAGTTCCTAAGTAATAAAGTCTGTGCCGGTTGTTTCACACTCAGATTTGCTTTTCTTCCCCCAGGGAAACATCGCAGAGAGGATTTGCTGCTGTACATTTTGCAAATGCTCAGGGGTTCCAGGACTTCACGGACCTCGCGGACAACAGACCACAAAGGTGCCACTCACTTGTGATTCCGTTTTACCTAACGTGCCTTGATTCGGAGGGGGCAGGGCTGAGACCAGCGGTTGAACTTACAGCCCGCACTCCGCGCTCACATGGCTTCCGCAGGGCAGGAGCCGATTCCGAGGGGCTCCCTTCTGAGGCTGCTGGAGAGAACACCCTGTCTCTTCTCTGTCCTGGGTGGTGTTGCCTCTCGGCTTTGCAGTATACACTGTGTATCTGCTTTAGACGACTCAAAAGGTGGCATGAGGTAGAAACAGTGGTGATGAGGCCGAGTGCCTGGAATCCCAACTGTTCAAGAGGCCCAGGCAGGTGGATCACTTGAGTCAAGAAGTCAAGACCAGCCTGGGCAACATAGCAAGGCCCTGCCTCATTAAATAAATAACGGAGAGTCATGTGTCATCGGCAGTGGAATAAGACTGAACTGCGAAAAGACCACAGCACTGTTGAGTAACAGCCCTTTAAATCCATGTTATGAAATATTAATTGCACGACACTGGGATGAATGATCTATCACGGTATTTTCCGTGAAATACTCCACGCCAATGAAAATGCGTGGACCACAGCCACGCACGACAGCAGTGAATTTCACCAGCACAATAGTGACCCAAAAAAGCCAAACACAGAAGAGCACACAGAGCATGAGTCTGTTTAGTAAATGTTTGAAGACAGGCAAACTGACCGAGTGTCGAGGGAGGGATACTTAAGTGACCACGTGCTTTAAAAGCCGAGGAAGTGCCATCCTGAGGCAGGCGTGCACGCCGGGGCGGTAATAGGTGATGACATGGCCCTGCGCCTGTGGCCCCAGGGCTCTGTTTCCTGACCCGGTGCTGGCTACAGGCCTTACATAGGACATTTCTGAAACTACCGTAAGGGATTCGCTGTATGACAATGAAGCTGCATGTCTATACCTCACTCAGGTGTATGTGCTTTTTCCAGTGGGTTTTAGCTATCACGATGAAAAGGAGTTTATCTTTAGAGAGATCACCCTGCAGCTTGCAGCATCCGTCCTCAGGGCGGGTGTGTTCTGCAGTCACTTCTTGTTCCAGCTGTTGCATTGAGAGTTTTCTTCCCTCCATTTCCCCTACTGCTTTGTTCAGGTCAGATCAGGGTTAGAAAAACGAGCGCAGGCACGGCCCTCAGTACCCTGAGGCGGGGCCTGTGTTAGCAGGTGGGGGGTGGGGAAAGAAAAAAGCATTTGCTGCGGGTGAGCCATGAGACAGGCAGGCCACATGTGGCCCAGGGAGCCACGGCGGGGCTTCCCCCCGCCTCGTGCAGCCTCCTTGCCAGAAGTGCTCACTCCTGGAGTTCTCCAAGGAGCAGGGGAGCACGCAAGCATCCCTGGGCGTCTCTTCCATTCGCCTGCTGAGAGGGTCGCGGCTGGCACTGCCCTCCTCCCTGCAGCTCGCTGGGGCAGGATGGCCGCCTGGCAGGGGCCTCAGGGGGCTGTGAGGATCAAAGAGGCAGAGGCTGCCGGTCTCTCCCCGACTCGCAGCCACAGCCAAGCCGGAGGCAGGGCCTCCCCAGAAAGCCTGTGACTTCACAAGGCCGAGTTGGGGGTGGGCACCTGACACTTGTTTTCTCTCTCCTGCCAGGGCTTTCCGGGTCTGAAAGGCAGCCGAGGACACAGGGGAGAAGACGGGGACGCTGTAAGTGTGACTCCCCTTCACTGGTTTCTTTTTCATGAAAAGATTCATCTTCACACAGAAGGGGTAGATGGGTTTGTTTCTATGTTTAACTTGTGTAGGTGTCTTGGGGGAAAGGGTTGTTTTCCTTTCTTCTTGTCTGAATCACGAGGTACTCGCTACATCCGTGTTTGTGGGGAGGAAAAAACGGGCATACCACGCAGCCTGGCATGCTTTCCCGGTGGCAGGGAGCTGGGCTTCCTCCCCTTGTCTGCCAAGCTGGGCACAGCAGGTGGCCTGATGGGGCTCAGCACTTGCCGTGGGTCCAGCCAGAGCCCACGTCCCTCAGGGACGGGGCAGGGACCCCCGAGGCACGGCTCCAGGTCAGGTGTTGCAGAGGTTGCCAGTCGGCCTCCCCCGGGCTCGGCGACCACACTGTGAGAATAGATATGGGTGGCTCTGGGTGGGATGGGGAAAGTCCAGGAACATCCAGACCGGTCTCTGTCCCCTTAGACCAAGGCCAGCGCCTCGTCTGGGCCGCACGTGTTAAGGATTAACAGCGCCGACCCTGGGGTCAGACTGGCGAAGCTTGAGCCAGATGCAGGACGGGGAAAGAGACCCTCCTGGTCCTCGCCTCTGAGCATCTATTCCTCCAGGACCCCAGGGCGAACTTGCACACTAGATGACCACCAGAAGGAGAGCTCTGAGTCACCCACCCTGTGCCGCAGGAGTCTTGGAGACACCCAGCAGGCTTGGGTGCGCTTCAAGTGTGGGGAGGTGTCACCACTTGCCTGACCAAGCCTGCGGCTGGCTGCCTCCAGGATGGGCCAAGGTGCACCTGACACACCCCTCAGCAGCTGTGGCCGTGGGGGAGGCCCCCTGCTTCCAGGGCAAAACTCTCAGGAGACAGAAGACGAGGAGGGACACCGGAAGTCCCTTCTGCGCTCTCTCTCCAGGAAGGAGAGGATCACACTCACGGCTAAAGGTGTTTCCGTGCAGCAAGTGTGCGCACCTGCCACACGCCCACTCTTGAGCCGGCCACAGGGGCACGGCATGGTCCTGCCCTCAGACAGCACAGATTGTTCTTCTCGTGAGATTCATTTTGCGCTAGCCTTGGCCAGTATTTAAATATTTTCTGGGAGAAGAGTGTTGTTGAGAGACACATATCCCTGACTTTGAGCGCTTTTCCCTGTGTGGATGGTCTCACTTTGGGGTCTTGAACCTGGTGGACTTCCTGTGAGGACTGGCTCTCCTTTGGGGTCTCGAATTGGTAGTCTTCCCCTGAGGACCGGCTCTCCTTTGGGGTCTCTACCTGGTGGTCTTCTCGTGAGGACTGGCTCTCCTTTGGTTTCTGTCATCCAGTTGCCTTCCCTGGGGACCGGCTCTCCTTTGGGGTGTGTAGTCTGGTGGGCTTCCCCGATGATCTGCTCCCTCCCGCTCTTCTGCACTGTTGCATCCCATCCCAGCCACCGTCTCTGCCTCACGCAGGTCCCTGGCACCCACTGGGTCCACCCTGTCACGGCGCTGATTCCCCTAGGACAGTGTTAGGGCCCTGGGCAAGTGTCAGGGCCACGTGAATTTCTGAGGCATTCACGTGGCCGCGGAGGGAAGCGCCTCCAGACCTTGGCTGTGCCCGGCTGGTGGGAGGGCGAGGCGGTGAGCTCGCCTGCAATTCTGTGCGCTCTCGGGTCTGTCCGAGGCCCCTGGGGTGGACGGGGAACACGTTTGGACGAGAGTGTGGCTGCAGGATGGTTTGCTTTTGTCCACAGCTCAGTGTGCCCACGTGCTCGGGCCTCACTCTTGGAGGCAAGCCCTGGCAGAACTCGGCCCAAGCATCACGTTGGACACTCGCTTGTGTTCCTTTTCTTAGGGAAGACGAGGAGACACGGGACCCCAGGGAGACAAAGGGCTTGCAGGGTGCCCAGGAGAGCGGGGTGAGAAGGTAGGAGGAGCTGCTGTTGCCTGTTCCCTGCAGCGTCGTCTCCCCCACCTCACCCTCCTCCCTCTGACCTCCCTCTCCCACCTCCTCCCTCTGGCTTCCTCCTTCCACCTCCTCCCTCTGATTTTCTCTCTCCCACCCTCCTCCCTCTGATTCCCTCACCCTCCTCCCCATGACTCCTCTCCACCCTCCTCTCTGTCGCTTTCTCCAGCTACGTTAGTTTCCGCATCTGCAGATTCATTCTGCTTTCCAATGACCTCAAGGAGTCTGTGGCGGTGATGAGATTCCACCCATTCCTCCTCTGTGGATGTATGGCTGGAAGCCAGCCACTGAAGACATGCCGGGGAAGGGAGGCGGCCCTGGGCTGCCGGCTATAACTCGACCCTCGGCCTTGGGCGTCGGGTGAGACTCTTCCTCTCTTGCAGGGCACCAGGGGCTTTTCTGGATATAAGGTACGGTGGCTTCTTCCTGGCCCAACTCGCTTCCTGGTGGGATCCCTTTCCCAGCATGCGTGTGCAGGGGCCTGCTCCAGCCTGACCTCTGTCCACGGCCGTCTTGCAGGGAGAACTCGGAGACCACGGGCTGGATGGACTCGACGGGGAAGAGGTCAGCTGCGTTTCTCGGGGGTCACCACACCGCCTTCAGGGTGATGTGCTTTTGAAGTGGGAATTTTGTTCTTGTTTTCTTTCAGGGCTTTCATGGATTTCCGGGAATAAAAGGAGAAAAAGGCAACCCAGGGGCTCAGGTAACACTTCACACCCAAGAGGGAGCATTTGTTGACCGAAATGGTCTTGCAGGCTTGGTGTCGTGGTCCTTGGGGACCCAGCTGACGGCCGACTTAGCCAGGAGATGAAGCTCTTTGACTTCCAAAGGGACAAGCGTTCCTGACGGGGCAAGGGGGAGACTGTGTGGTTTTCAAGAATTTCCAGGTAGAAAAATTCACAGCATACAATGTTCTTCTGTGGGCATGTTTTGCAAAGCCAGAAAGTGAATTTTCTAAGTGTTGGTGGTTTCTGGGCTCTCTTTATTGTGTCAGGAACAAAATCAAAAGGGAGAGAGAGAGACAAAATTACGTTGCTGGCCTTGGTGTAGCAAGTCACGGTGAAACCCTTTCTACTTTAAATTCATGCCCACTCCTTACTGGATGCTGACCTGACTTCCTGCAGCTCTCCATTGGTGTTTGGATCCATTTATCCATCAAAGTTTTGAGCACCTGCCACGTGCCAGGTGCTGAGTTACAGGATAAGAATCAGAGATGAGCCACGTGGCCACGTCCTCGAGGGTCCCATGGTGCAGTCAGGAGACACGTGCGTCCACAGGATGTGATCACACAGTTGTGGTTGGGCGTGTGGTAGGAATCTCCCTGGGGGGTAGGGAGTGCTGTGGGGTGGTGTCCAGGCAGTCTTCCTGGAGGAAACAGTCCCTGAGCTGAAGAGGAATGGGAATTTGAGCTAGCACAGCTGTGGAGAAAGAGTCTTCCAGACAGAGGGAATGGCAGAGCAGAACACAGGCCTGGCACCCTGCCAGTCTTTCGTCCTGGAAGGAGGTTAGGACCCAGAGTGGGTGGAGGTGTGGAACCAGGTGAGAGATCAGGGTGGCAGAGCGAGCCCCATGTGCCTCCGCTCCAACCACCCGGCAGTGGGGCCTTTGCAAGACTTGAAGCGGAAGGAGCACTGTCATGGTTGCGTTTTGGAAATACTGCCCAGCAGCGCGGGGAGCGTGTGGGGGACAAGGGGCAGATCCGTGCATGACGGAGCCTCGTGGAGGGCAGTGGCCACAAGGACACACGCGAGACCTGAGAAAGACATGGTGGGTCTGGGCGCGTGGGGCATGCCACTCCCGGGAGGTAGGAGGCCCCGCCCTCAGTCACGCAGGGGGACACCTCACCGTCCCTGCCTCGCTTGGGCTCTGGCCCTGGATGCATAATCTCCAGCTGTCGGTGCCCAGAGGGGCAGGAAAGAGGAGCCAGCCCAAATACTTCGAGCACCTGGGCTGGGGCAAGTTTGACTGGCAGCAGGCGGGTGACTGTGGGTCACCTGGTGGGAGCTGATAGCAGGTGTCAGAGGCTGCTGGGCCGTCCGGATGCCCGGGGCAGGAGCTGCCAGCTGTACTTGATGACTTCACTGCAAGTCTAATTAATGAAAACTTAAACTCCGCCTTCAGTCGCTCTGGCCACATTCCATGTGTTCTGCAGCCACACGTGGTTGGGGCAGCCATGCTGGAGAGAGCGGCTCGATGCTTCTGTCACGGCAGCTGCCCTGTCGGACAGCGCTGTGCTGGACCAAGCCTCCCGGTTTCTCAGCCTCCCCGCAGGTCCTCCTCCACAGCTCAAAGCTGGACTTGGTGCCCTTGAGAGGGTCAAGGAACCCGACTGAGGCAGAGGGATGGGGCATCTCACCGGGCTGCTTTCACTTGACGCCGAGACCACCGGGAGAGCCTCTTGCAGCCGACTCAGGCGTTGTATTTTTTTCAGGGCAGCCCCGGTTCCAGAGGCTCCCCCGGGGGACGTGGAGAGAAGGGCTTCCCGGGGGATCCGGTAGGTTGCCGGGACCCCACTGGCCCTGAATTTGACACTTGCTGCACAGGTCCCGCCTTCTGTCCCTCTGTGTCTTCTGCTAACCTGGGGCGAACGCTTGTCCGGGGAGTGGGGTGGCAGATGTTGACTGAGGCTTTGGGAACAATCGGGGTCTGATCTAGACTGGTTATGCTCAAGATTCAGAACTGGGAACTGAATCCCATCTTAGGAATCCCTATGGCTTGTTGAGACGTCCAGGCTCCTTTGGGGACAGTTTCCATCGTCCGTTGATTGGATGCCAATCTTACAGAACTGCAGATTCCTCATTTGCAGACGCAGTTACAGGGACTTCATGGGTGGCCCGAGAACGTTTGGACCAGGGCATCAGCAAAGCTGCCGCCGCAGAGAAGAGAAATCACCATGTAGCAAGCACTCTCTTCATTCTTTGTGTATTACCAAATCGTCTCCAAACTTGGGGAAATTTCACTTTCACTTTTTCAAAAATCCTATGAGTTTCAAACGCGAGTTTTGTCAGACCTCTCATGCTTGACTCAAATTAGCTTAGTGCTTGATCATTATACTGTTGGTTGAAAAAGCTGGTCTTTCTGGCTTCTGAAATACTTTTCAAATCCTCCTCCAGGGTAATCCAGGACAAGACAGTGGCCTCCAAGGACCAAAAGGGACCAAAGGAGAACCAGGAAGACAAGTAATAATTGGATCTGTTTTACACATGAGCACTGTCTTTGGGGACATGATTCTGTCATGGAGTTGAGTAAAGTCGGGGAAAGAGATGACTCCGTGACTATATGAGCAACCCCAAGTCTGCGCGTCAGACCCTTGTGTACTTAGAATAATGCAAGTCTGGTCTCAGCTACGCTCCTTCTGTTATTTTAAAGATGTGGGGAACAATTCAGGGTCAGGTACAGACATGGTCATCGTGAAGGTAAAATTTGGGCCTCCCTTTGGGCCCCACTTTGCCTGGCTTGAGATCGAGTACCCTGACTGACAGTTTCCCACTACTGCCAATCCCTTTCTTATAGTATTTTGATAAATGTTCAGGGTTCACTCGTGCGTGAGAACATGTGATGCACAGATCTTTGTTTCTGGGATGGACCACTCAGTAAATAGCCTCTAAGTCCATCCAAGTTACTGCGAAGGTCATGATTTTGTCCTTCTTTATGGCTGCGTAATAGTCCATCATGTATAGGTACCACATTTTCTTTATCCAGGGCACTTTTGACGGGTGGCAGGGTTGGTTCCATGTTTTTGCTATTGTGAGCAGTGCTGCGATAAACATGCGTGTGCAGGTATCTTTCTTGTAGAGGGTTACACTTCCATGGGCAAGATTGGGAATTTCCAGCAGGTGATGTCCTTTGGGAAGACGTGTGGTAGCAGTGCATGTCGCTACCCTTCTTCTCTTTAAAGGACACACAGCCCATCGTGTTCGTAGGCGGAAGGTGGCAGCATGGCATGTTCTAATCACGCGTGAGGTTTTGATGCCAATGCCTTCATCATTTATTCTGAACCTTGTGCCTTCTGATCTCTTGTATTTGCAGGGTAGAGCTGGACTGAAGGGGACGCCAGGCGGTCCTAGCTCCAGAGGAAGCAGGGTGAGTGTCTCTGTGGACACCCACTTCTCCCCTTGGCACTTGGGGTTGACACACCGGCATTCAGAGTCCTGGCTGCTGCATGATCAAAGTCAAGGATGGATTTGTCTGGAGGGCTTCTCAAGCTCGGCACTTGACCTTTTGGGCCAGATGGTTCTGCGTTGTGGAGGGCTGAGCACTGCTAGGTTTTAGTAGCATCCCTGGCCCCTGCCCCTGATGCCAACAACGCCACCCTCCTCCGGCCTGACATCCGAAAAAGGCCCCAGATTCACCCCTGGCTGAGAAGCACTGCAACACGCCTGCTTCTCCCTTCCGCCTTCAGAGGTTTTCCATGCCTTGGAGGGAGCCGGTGGTGCTAACCCAGAGCCCTCCTTGGCGGCTGAGCATTTAAAGCGTTTGCCAGAACGCTGTGAGCTGGGCAAACATGCTCTCTTCCTCTTTACGCGTTGCCAGTGGGAAGAAGGAATCACGGGTAAATGGTTCCCCAACAGACCCAACTCTGGCGTGAGGGCCGACGAGGTGGCAGCCTCGGGTCCCACATCACGCCAAGCCTGTCATGGCACAGACAGGGACGGTGGCTCTCCCCACCCGCCGGAGGACCAGCCAGGAAAGCACCTTGCCCTCCGAAGCTGGGGATCTTCATAATGCGTTCGAGACTCCCCTTCCGTGCGCCCAGCACGCACATCATAAAAAGAGAAGGGTGGATAACGTTCTGCACTTGGCCCAGAGCTTGGCTCAAGAGGGAACAGAAAATGCTTGGCTCTTTTTCCTGTGATGAATTTGGAAGCTTCTGGTCATTTTGGAGGCAGTGGCCGGCTGCCCTTCTCTCTGGGGCAGACAGGGAAAGAACGTGCGGCCATCCTCCTCCTCGACGTGTCCTGAGCCGTCGTTCTTGAGGGAGGCCCTGCGGGTCCGGGGCTGGGCTCACAGGCTCTGGGGAGACTCCCAGGCCGTGCCTCCCCCCACGTGGGAGAAGTGACGTGTCGTAGGAGGAAGCAGTCGGGCCGCAAGATGAGCCAAGCGCTGTCGATTTTAAAGATGAGCCTGCGTTTTTGTGGGTTGAAGAGGAAATGCTTATAGATTGAAATCGCTTTAGAACTGACACATCCCTCTGGCGCTTTTAACTAAGAGGGATAACAAGTCCTTGGACAGACCAGCCGACTCCTTCCAAGCCCTTCAGGGACGCGAGGCCCTCAGTCCCTCCTCACCGTCACCCACTGCCCTCTGGTCTCCTCCCTTCTCCCGAATTAAACAAGGCCACATGAATGCAGCCAGCAGCACCGGGTCTTCTGCCCTCTCCCCCGTTTTTCCAGAGAACGCAGTTCTCTCTGGGAGTCGGGAATGCATGACAGATTGTCAACAACCCAGGCCACCCGGCAGCACGGCCTCCCGCGTGGCAGAACTCTGACCTAGGACAGCCGCTATCACCTGCTGCTGCCACAGCAGAGGATCTACATGCTCAAGTCCACGCTCTGGGCCTCTGCCTCTCGTCTGCCCACACAGAGGAGATGCCACCGCACCCATGTGGGGCCAGGTCCTGACCAAGTCACTTTCAAATATTCACTGAATCCTCTAACCAACCTCTGGTTGGTGCTATTTTTACGGATGAGAAAATCAAGGAGCCTTGGCGGTTTGCCCGGGGTCATGACAGAGCTAGGATCTGAGCTCGGTCTGTCTCCCCCCAGACCCCGGGCTGCTGCCCCCCTGGGTGGGGCTGACAGGGCAGCTGCCCATTGCCAGGCTTCACAACCAGAGTTGAGGAGCTTGGGCCGCCTGACTTCCAAGGACGCCTCTCTAACCGCTGTGCATATGGGTTACGCAGAACACGCGTCAAGCTTCTCTTGCTCTTATGAAGTGGGGCGTGATGTCATGGAAGCGGCACCCTCAGTCCTGCACACTGTGTCTTCGCCATTTTCTTACGTCAAGAGCGTTGACTTGCCACTCTGGAGGCAAACAGCTGACATGTGACAATGGGCAATGTCTCCCCAAGAGTATTTGTATTTAGAAGCAAAAGTCCCTTGAATCAAGGGGCAGAACCTCGGTGGAGAAATTCTGGCCATCGGCCTCCCCGGAGCCCGTGTTCGGTCAGGTGGTTTATTTCCAAAGGACTCGGGAGGCGGCAGATGGGAGGAAACGCTGCCAGAAGGAATGATTTCCACAGCCACCTTTCTGAGCCAATGGATGAGGGAGTGTATTTTTTAAGTCCCTGTTTTGTACCTAAAGCCATCAGAGTTGTTTGTTACGGTGCGGGTGGACTGGCAGTCGAGGTGGCACCCGGCTCTCTCAGCAGGGCGAGGACAGGCCAGTTGGCATGGATTTTTTCGCTGTTTAGGGAGAAGGGAGCCGGGATCTGGGGTCTGCTCTTTCCGCAGGCCCTGGAGAAGAGAAGGTGTGGCAAGGGCCGTCGCTAGGTGGGCAGCCTGAGCCGGGCACAGGTGACTTGGGTGCCAAAGAGCACCGTGTTGCTTTTTTCCGTGAACCTGGTGGCCGCATTTGGGCCCAGACGGCTGAGCAGACTCCACCCACCTTTCCTTCCTATAGAATTCCAGCGACTAACCTGGGGGGTCCCCGAGAAACACCACATGGAGAAGGCTATTCCTCCCCCCATGGTACGATCAGGGTTCAGGACCGGGAGAAACGGAGGTGACACAGTACTCCTCCCGTGTCTCCTCCTGTGGCCCAGGCCTCGCAGGGCTCACGAGAGAGGAGAATGTAGAGGGCAGGTCTGCAGGACCACCCGATGCCTGAGCCACTTTCCTGACAGCCAGGACGGTGTCCCCCGAGCTGGGGCTGTCGTGGCCTTTAGACGCCCTGGACTTGCAGTCAACCCCCAAATGCTTGTCTGTAACAAAGTGCCCCCTGAGAGGACGCGTCTAGGAAACAGCCCAGGAGGCAGCTTCTGTGAGCAGCTCGGTGCTGTGTTGGCCAGGGAACGCACCCCAGACTCGCACGTTGACACTTTGTCTTCTCTGTTCCAGGGACGGGGTGGCCGGAGAGGACTCCAGGGTGCCTCGGTGAGTAGCCCTGGCTTCTTGCGCTGGGGTTGACGGACCACGGAGGTGTCTTCCACACACTTGGCAAGACATTGTGGGAAGTGTCCCATGCCGGACACGCTCCCCTGGTTGGGAGACACACTGGCTACCACTGCCCCTCCAGGGACAGGGCCGACCCAAGACACAGCCTCCCTCACAGACACCCACGGACACGCACAGCCTAAGCGATGCCAAGTGGCGGCCCCAGCCTGCACTCCGGGTGCTGGGGACGCGACTGCAGGAAAGGGAATTTCTTTCCTGGAATCAGAAGCGAGCTGTGCTCATTCCTTGGACAGCCTGGAAGGTTACAACCCCAGGCAAAGCGGGGGGTGAGCCCCGAGGCAGACACAATAGCACCTCAGTCCCATGGAAGTCCTGCAAAGAGAACAACTATGTGCAAACCATGCAGAGACAATCTTGACCTTGACGCTGAAAACACTTGTTCCTCAGGGAGACCCAGGAAGTCCTGGACCCCCGGGCACACAGGGAGCAGAAGGATCCCAAGGCCCACAGGTGCGCTGGAGTGTCCTGTACATAAGGGCCAATGCTGGGAGGCTGCGCTGGTGGGAGAAGGCGGTTCTGCACACAAAGGAATAGCTGAGGAACGTCGAATCTGTCCCTGCTTGGCTCTGCTTCCCCCGTCAGGGGTGGGGGCCACCCTGGGCCATCAAGCCTGCTCCCCAGCTGTTGCCCACCCATGAGCCTTTGCAGCGGGGAGGTGAGCACCTATGCCCACCTGGCACCACGGCTGCACGTTCGTGCTCACAGGTGATGGGTACCTCCGGAGGTTGGTCGTTAACGTCAGGTCCAGCAGGTCACTTCTCTTGGCTGGGGTCTGCACATGGCCCCGCCCAAGAAGGTTAGTTACCAGGCAGGAGCTGCTCCTGGACTCACCTACAGCTCACTCCCCTGGGTGACAGCATTTCTGGGGTCTGATAGGGCTTTCCTTTTGCCTGTCTTCACGCTGTGTAGCCAGTCATTTGAGCGCCAAAGTTTCCCTTGCTCCCTTCCACGCTGGAAGAAGCAGTGGTCAAGCCTAGAGGTGGCTTTGTAACACATGGGTACTTAGTCTTCCTATGAAGTCAGTTTATACAGAGCCCACCCTACGCCTGGACTTGTCTGGAAGGGCCCGTGTAGACGTGTCTGTTCTAAGGCCTTCCCAGGAATTCACCTTTCTTCTAGAAAGTTCCATATTATTAGAACTACATTGGACCGTGGGATTCTCTTGAGTGGTTCTGGGGTCCCTGAACCAACCCATGAGCTAGTAGGTTCTTGAGATTGAGTGACCATGGAGTCAGCCTAGATCCATTGCCAGGCTTTTGCGTGGAGGGTGACGGCTACTTCAAATACCTCAGGCGCTCAAGGTCCGTCTGACACTTAGACGGGCGGCCAGGGGCCATTCCACAGCTGGTGCTCTGGTAGGAAAGAGCACTGCTGACAGCTCCAGTGTTTGCCTCTGTGGGAGAAAACGGCATGAGAAGCACACACTGAGAGCACACGTCCAGGAAAATACACCCTGACTCCTCTGATGGAGTTGGCTGCTTCTGGGCTGGCTTGAAACAACTCTGCTCCTTACTGCTCACATTAACAAGCATTTTGGTGCCGCCACCTACCCCTAAAGGCCTTGATCTGGCTGTTGCTTATGTCTTCCTCGTCTGCAGGTTGTGTTTCCCATTTAGTCTATTTCACATTCCCTGCAGAGAGGGGTGAAGGTCTTACCCCAGCCAGGAACCTTATTCCCCCACAAGACCTGGACGCCCGGGTCCACGGGCCTGTCACTTCTAACAACTGCGTGGTCACAGGGCAAACGGCTGCCAGGCGTGGGCTGTTGCCTTCTGTGGGCGTTTCAATAACACCAATCGAGAAGGTCAGCTGCGATGGACATGATCTCACCATGTGTCTTTTATTACTGCCCAAGGGGTCAAGGGGAAGTCCTGGCAGGAAGGGAGAGAAAGGAAGCGAGGGGCACAAGGGACCTCAGGTAAGTGACACCGAGACGTTGGGCTCAGTGATGCCTGGCGGTTGCTTTCCTCTTCTGCAAGATGTCTTCATGTAGAGATTGCTTTATACCATGTACCTATAGAATTTATTTTACTCCATCCTCAGATAGAGTTGATTTTATACCATCTTCACGTAGAGTTGATTTTACGCCGCTATCTTGAGGTGGAGTTGGTGTTACACTATCTCATGTTGAGTTGATTTTACGCCATCTTCCTGGAGTGTTTATTTTGCATTATCTACATATGTATGATTCCATTTGGGATTATGGCTACCATGCCTAGCGAGTTTTTAAATTTATTGTAGAGATAGGTTTTTGCTATGTTGCCCAGGCTGGTCTCAAATGCCTGGGTTCAAGCATTCCTCCCCCTCAGCCTTCCAAAAAGCTGGGTTATGTGTGCGAGCCACGGCACCCAGCCAAACGTGGCACAGAGTCCTTGCACAGAGCCAAGGAGCTCCTCTTGGTCCCTCACTGGGGTTTCGCTCAGAAAGCACAACCCACTCCGCCAGCCTCAAGAAGGCATTTGGAAAAGTACAAGTATGGCCCAATCATGAACGAGTCCTCCAGAACCTAATATAGTATTCGGATTCTTCCAACTTTTAAGAATTATCCGTGCCACGCACGTGTATCACATGTATCCTCATTGACGATAGACCTTTAAAACTGACCGTGCACAGGGCCCCCGGTTCCCAAGACTGTCTGACTCCTAAGCTCCGCTCTTGCCTTCAGCCTCTGAATCTGTGTGTTTGCTGAGTGAGTCCTGAGAGTTTGGCTAGTGGTGGATGGGTGTGACAACATGTTCTGAAGCTCTTTGATTCTTCAGCTCAGATGGTGAGTGTTTGGAAGGCAGGGCTGCCTGTCTTCCCGGAAAGTGTGGGAAAGGCACCGCCTCCCGTTTTCAGGCAGAAGCGTGTTCTGCAGGTGTTTCGTATGTGCCCGTGGCACGGTGCACCAAGGTGGCAGAGTGTCTTGTTCCAGCAAATCAGTGCACGGCAGCAGCGTCCCCACACTTGGAAGTCCCATGTGTTGAGTCCTTCTCTCACTGAGGCCCCACGTGGACTAGTGATGCTCCCGCCTGGGAACACGTGTGGTCCTCTCCCCAGGACTGGAACCGGCAGCCTCAGGACTGCCCTGGCTGACTTGTCTCCTTTGGGTGCTGGGGCTTCTGTGAAGGTGGCGTTGGGAGGTGTTGGCACGACATGAAGAAAAGTGACACGTGTCCAGTGGGTTTTCTTAGCATTGCTGTGGCCAACATGTGGGTCTTTCTTTTACAGGGTTCTTCTGGGCCAACGGGGGCTAAAGGGAGCCCTGGAAGATCCGGACTTTCGGGGAAAAAAGTAAGTGTGCTTTCTTATGGGTTTCCAATACCGAGAGCAGAAGCACCCCCATTCCCTCCCCAACCTTCCCATTGGTCCCTCACGTGGTTGACTCCGGGCACACGAATGAGCCACCAGCCCGCACTGATGACTCCTCTCTCTTCCGCTGAGCAGTTTCTAACAGCTGACCTTTGGCCTTCCACGAGGCTGTCCCACTCCACCGGAGATCCCACCCAGCAGAAACGCTCTGAGACACCCCAACACGCTAAGGCCCCGCAGGCAGGGTGCCCGTGACCGGGTCGAGGAGGGTGGTGGTGTCAGAACCCGCCTCCGTCCTGCGTGCACCCCTCTTGCTGGAGGACGGCTCTGGTCAGGTCCCACCCTGGACCCCCACCCTTGAGCCAGCATCCCCGGGCAGCCCACTATGACTTCAGGGGGAGGGGTCCGCTTGGCTCCTGCCCTGCCGTGGTCTTGAGTCCCTTCCTGTCTGAGCGAGGGCCCGGGTTCTCCTTTCACACCCAGCCTGGAAAACCGGGCCTGGGCCTTGCTGTCCCTCCGCCCCGGGGAGTCCCCAGGCGCGAAGGTTACAGGATGAGGAGTTCTGAGGGCTGCTGGGCGGTGCGGTGACGGTGGCCAACAGCGCAGTCTGTTCACTCAACACTGTGCTGAGAGCAGCTCTTGAAGGTTCTCAGCAAAAAGAGAAAAGAAAACATGGTGGCCTGAGAGGACAGATGTGCTGGCCACCTGCTCATGGTGATCATGTTTCTTTTGCTGCGAGATCTTTTTTTATTTTTTTTTGAGTTGGAGTCTCACTCTGTCGCCCAGACTGGAGTGCAGCGGCCGCTCCCGGCCACCACAGCCTCGACCTGCTGGGCTCTGGCCATCCTTCCGCCTCAGCCCTCCGAGTAGCCAGAACTACAGGCGCACGCTACCACGCCCGGCTGATTTTTGATTTATTGTAGAGATGAGGTCTCGCTGCCCAGGCGGGTCTCGAACCCACGGGCTCAGGCCATCCACTCACCTCAGCCTCCCAAAGGCGCGGGATGACAGGCTGAGCCACCGAGCCCGGCTTGCTGCGAGATCTTTTAATTGTGCATTGGAAGTGACTCGCCACGGGGGGAGGCTGCGTGCCATCGCCGTGGCCTGCAGGCTGTGCGACTCCGCCTGACCCCTGCGCAGAATGGGAAGTGTGTGTGGGCCCTCGACGACAGGCACCAAGCCCGGTCAACGGTCTTGCCCCTTCCTTGGCATCACTGACAGAGGGAAATGTGCGCGGTCCGTCTCACGGCAGGGTTGGCATCAACGGTGGGGGAGGAGAGAGGACATGTCCGTCATCCGCTGGGTCCCAGCAGCTCTTCCCAAGAGATCGTCCTAAAGTCCCTGTGTAAACCACATCCCACATCCCACACCTTCCACTTGGCGGTTATTTGTGAAGAAGGGGGTGTCTGCAAGACCCTGGGCTGCTGGGTCGCTTCGTCTCAAGCCCGGCTCCCTCCGGTCCTCCCTCCGCCGCCTTCACCGGGCCTCTCACCTTCTGCTCCTCCTGCCGGGTCAGCCAGCCCTCCACTCCGCCACGGCCTCCTCCTTCCTCCCCCGTTCTTTCCCCCTCCTCCCCTCCCTCCCTGCTCACACAGCCCACCCTCCTGCCTCAGCCTCCGCACCTCTCCTCTAGGCAGCCTCCAGGCCCGCCAGACCTGCCTCACCCCCTGCTCTGGCCGCTGTCCCCCAGGGCCTCATTGGACACTCATCCCACCTGTCTGGTTTTTCTTCCCCCACCCACCCTGCGCTCGGTGAAGGCAGAGCCAGCTCCATCCCTCGCCCCTTCCTGGACGGCCGGCTGCAAGCGAGTGTGTGTCTGCCCTGTGCCTTCTCCTGTCCTCAGGGCGCCGGGAGGCAGCACAGGGGCCTGGCCCCGCCCGGGCTGAGCGGGCATCTCTCCTTTGCGCCGCCATGCCCGTCGGGAGCTCTGACTCCTCGCTGAGAAGCCAGTCTCCCCTTCCACAGGATGGAACATTCCACGGAGGGAGCTGGGTTGGCTTTACTGACCCGACGCCCTTCTTGTCTACCCCTCAGGGAGAGCCTGGACTCCCTGGAGACTTGGGGCTGGCCGGCCAGCCTGGGCAGCGAGGAAGACAGGTATGAGGCTCCGAAGCCCTCCCCTCCCCGGCCCGGCCCTCGGCTCCCAGGCAGAGCAGGACGGAGACCATCAGCCCAGCAGGGCTGTGGAAGGCTCCCTGCATGTCAGAGGGTGTGGGGACGTGTCTCCCAGCTGGGGGCTCTCCCTCGTGGCCAGTCTGTGAGTGAAGGACAGTGGGGGGGCAGGCAGAGGACAATGGCAAAGGCAGGACAGGCACCTCTGTGGCAGCCCGCAGTGTGGCCGGTTGAAAAGCATTGTCTCCTGAAATGCCAGGGGTGACAAGAGATAGAGAGATGGGCAAAGACACGGGCGTTGCTTCTCCAGCCAGTGGCTGTGACTGTATCCAAGGAGAGAGAGAAAGGGGAGAAAGAGAGGGTGGGGGAGAGAGGGAGGAGGGGGAGAAACGGAGGAGAGGGGGGAGGGAGAGAGGGGGGAAGAGGGACAGGAAAGGAATGACAGAAAAGAACGTCTGTGATGCATAAAGCAAGAGGAAGGGAAGGAAGGAAGACGGACCCAGGATCTCACTGTGTGGGGAAGGCTTGCCACTGACGTTCTGGAGATGCCAGGAGAAAAGAGGTCCCTCAAAGGGATGTTTCCTTCAAAGGGAGGTTCCCCAGGCGTGCGTCCATGTCCCTCCTTTGTCCCTCAACGTCGCCCTAAATGCTTCAAAGCCGCCTCCAGCCCGTGCTCCGCGTTGACGTGGCCCTCTCTTGCTGTTGCGCCTCTGCTTGCTTTCCGATGCTCGCCGTCTTCAGCAGCCCAGCCACGAATATACACGTCCCGAAATCTGTGGGCAAAACTATAGTCCGTTTCTACGTATAAATGTCTAGGCAAAGCGTGGCTGGGCCAAAGACTGTGCGCCTGCTGAGTGAAGGCTTGGCCCGCTTGCGGAGGGCCCTTCGGGACGCCCAGACACCACCCGGCTGTGCGTGTCTCGCTGGAGCGTGTTTATCTCGGGGCTTCCTCGGCCGCAGGTGCTGGCGCTTTCTTTTCCATCCTCATCACTGACAGAAGAGGCGTCCCATTACTGTTTCAACCGCATTGTGGTTAGCACTGGGGTTGGCCCTTCCTTCCATGTCTATCGGCCGTTTCTCGGGCCTGGGTTCCTCAGGCTAGCTCCAAGTTCTCCAGTCAAGAGCCTGCCACCAGCGCCACAAGTCCTGAATGACCGACCTCCCTCCCTCCCTCCGCCCCCTGCCATGGTCAGAGGGGAGCTGGCCAGAGACATACCCGGTCGTGTCAGGACGTGGGGGAAACCCCGTGACATGCATGTTCCCAGGGCTCAAGGTCACCAGCAATCCCCAGCCCCACGGAAGTCCTGGTGCTCCTCTTCTGACACCATCACTTCCCCATGTAGACTACGGTCCATTTCCACTCTTGAGAAACTGAAATGAGCTGGTGTGTTTGCAGGGAGATTCTGGCAACCCGGGCTACGGTCAGACGGGACAAAAAGGAGTGAAGGTAACTATGGAAGGCGGTGATTTTTTTGATGGGCAAATCAACTAAGCAAGACAAAAAGAAACGATCCCATCACAGAAGCAGTGTGTTGATGTCTTTACGTTCTCCACCAAAATTGCAGGGCCTCCGAGGGTTCCCTGGAGATATGGGGCTGAAGGTATGGCGCACGTGACCTTTCGAGACTACCACGATCTTCTCTCTCCCTTCGTGGCAATCTCGATTGATAAAATGAAATGCTTGTAGACTGATCCAGCTATGTCGTCGTCGTAAAAGTGTCTCTCTTGGTTGTGGTCTAATTTGAAAGCATGTATGGGGTGGGAGAGACAGGATGGAGGGAGGGAAGGAAAGGGCTTCTACCTGAGAACTGAGATAACCCGTGGAACCCACAGGTCTGAATGAAGTGGGCGGCGGCAGTTGTTTTGGGGCGCTTCCCCAGAAGGGGGCCATGCGTGACCTGTGAATCTCCATGTGGGAGGAGACTGCTGTCTTTCATGGCCTATGCCCTTCCCTGACAGCCGCCTCCAGGTGTCCTCTCAGGTTTCTCTGTGTTGGTGGTTTTGTCCAATTCTCTCGCTTCAGCTCCTGCTGTGAGTTCTTCATCTCTGCGAACTTCACCTCCTCTCACCTGGAAGATCACAACAGTCTTCTCCTCGGTCACCTTCCTTCTTCCTCTCCCTGCTTCAGTCAATCCCAAACGCTGCCGCCGCTTGATTTTCTCCAAGTATAGCCCTTATGCTGCTGCTTTCCTGGTCAAACACGTCCAAGAGCTCCTCGTGGCCAGACGAGCTCATTGACATCTGTTTTCTGCACTGGGATTCAGGAATAGGGGTTCCCTTTTTAAAAGTGTCCAGACAGTTGATGATTAAATAAAATATGGGTTAAGAATAGAACGTCTGATTAATAAATCAAATAAACTATAGGAAAACAGCCCATTTTGGAATCCTCTTTAAAGTGTTTTTAGCTAATGAAATACGAAGCGACTCTTCCGTAGAAAAGGGTGTGAGAAGAGACTATGTAAATAACTGTTAGGATGAAAGTCTTCATGGTAGAGGATCAATTTTCTGGCTTGATGATAAAGGGAGAAAATTAGCATTCTTCGATTTATTGATGAATGTGGAAATAAGCATAATGACAAATATCTGTCAAAATTAATTTCCTACAAAAGCCAGAGGAGATTTTTTTAAACCTCCAGCTTTTCCAGAAGTGTTTCATGAATTTAGAAAGTAATTCATTATTTTGTATTTTATGTAGTCAATACTCCAAATGTTTTTCCTGATTTTCAGGCATTTTCTTGGAATATTTTTATGACTAGCCATTTAATTGACATTTTATGTAAATACTTGTATTGTGAGAAAATTTAAAATATCTTGGAGACTATCTAGGTATCTCAAAGACTGAGTTCCAAATGACAGGAAAAGGTATTTAAGGATGTATTGCCCTTAATTAGTGTGTCAATAATTGTTATAAAATCAATTAAGTTTCTGTTTGGAGATACTTTTTAAAATCCTTTCATAGCAGATCTTTTGACATCTTCATTTCTTATATCTGAATCTTCAGGGTGATGTTGGGAATTCTGGAACTCCTGGGGGACCTGGACCCAAAGGATTTCGGGGACTGGCTGTAAGTGACCTGCGATTCCAGAAGTAGTACATATTTCTTGGGCAGACTCTGGCCTTCGTGGTGCGATAATAAATGTGCATTACTGATGCAGCTCAGGGACATCTGTGATGCCACTTACTAGCTGTGACCTTCAACACACCTCAGTGTCTCTATTTCTGTGACATAAGAGCTGAACTTAGTGATGCCTAGAGTCACTTTCAGGTCTGAAAGTTTCTGGCTTTATGAATCAGAACTATTTTAAAGATGGACGAATTGATAACTGTCACTTCTGAGAAACATCCTTGCCTTCCAGTCTGTTCCAAGGCTCACGCTGAATCCCAGAATGATAACTCCATGAGTGGAAATGAAGGTGATATCTCCCCGAGTCGCTGAGGGTTTTCTGATGACTCCACCATCCATAGCAAGATCAGACAGGGCATTCATTTTAAGGAAGGCTTTTGAGACCTTCTGATTAGCAAAGCGCAGAGTAGAATATTATGCTTACTTAAAAACACAACGCAGAGACAGGCACCTTTCATCCTAAGGTTTGAGTGCAGCATCAGCGGTCATCATCAGTGTGAAAGAGAAACAGTCCAAAGGCTGTTTTCCCTCTGACTGGAAAAGTTTCATCAGCATCCATGTCCTCACCCAAGGGTGGGAACGTCATGGCCCGTGCGTGTCCTCCGTGTGTGTCTTTTTCCCTCTTTAGCCTTTTACAGATGGGAGGGTCTTTTTTTTTAATTAGATCTCTGTGTGTCCCAGTTGATTTGCTTTTCCTGTTAGCACCAAGCTCAGCTTATTACTAATTTAGACTGAAATGCACAGTTAGTGCCAGAGCAAAGTCTGCCACTGTTTAAGAGGCTAAGAGGGAAGCAATATTTAATGGCGATTAAGAGTGGGCAGTTGCCGGGCTCGGTGGCTCAGCCTGTAATCCCGCGCCTCTGGGAGGCTGAGGTGAGTGGA